GGGACCACATTTTGACAGGGGGGTGAACTAGTTTTCAACTAGTCCTGGACCGGACTTTTTAGGGACCGGACCGGGACCGAACCAGACGAACCATTTAACATCCCTAAATAACAACATTATGTGAACTATATACATTAAAAAATGATGATCTTAAACTATGCATTATAAAACTTTATTGAAATTATACTGTATATAGCTGTCCAGAAATGAATTTTATTATTTTTAATAAATTATAATTAGGACTTTTAAAGACCTAAGAACCCTAGGTCCTTAAATTTGGACTTGGTCTTTAAAGACCAGGTTTAAAGACCAGGTCCTAAAGTCCCGGACCTAAAGACTTTACCAACCCTACTTAAATAACAAGGAATACCATAGACAACCGGTGCTGCACCAATTAAGTATTTCAACTTACATTCATTCCTTGCCATTGATACAGCTTGTACCAATGATACATCCTCCCTTGGAGTAATAGCATCCATATTATTAGGACATAATTTCCATTTATTGAAAAGTGCTTTACTAAACCGATCAATATCTTTATCTGTGACATCCCATAAATTAGCGACAAGCGCAGGACTATTAAAATGAAAAGAATATCAAAAATTTGATAAAAACACATGAAAATAGCTAAAATATCTTATAATACTGACCAGCCTGCTATTATATAGCTTAAAGCCGTACCCGATGGATCAAACTCTCCCCTATCACACAAATGACCACTACTACAACCAAATAATAGAGTAACTGCACAACGGTCAAGAGCTCTAATACAATGACTTCGAATATATTGTTCTCCAGTACCGTGGCCAACATATCTAAATTTTTTTAGTCGAATTAAATATTTAAGCATAAAATACTTTGCCAAAATAGTTTTGTACTTACGCTATAATACATACATATAAAGATCATTATTTGCTAATCCGTTTTTGCATTCCAGCTCAAAGGGAGGGCGACCAATAACCCCGTCCCATTCTTGAAAACTAGGAATAATAATAATAATAATAAGTTATGGAAAAAACTCCCGTTTCAAATTTATATAAAATTTATAAACTCACGATTTACCTCTTTACAAAATCTTCAAATTCATTTTGCGTATACTTTAAATCTTGACTTGGATTGAGCACATAAAAGGCCTTGCGTTGATCAATAAAATAATTCGAAGTATTTGATTCGTCTTGTTTATTATTAATGTGATTTATTAACGTTATACGATCTCTTAAAAATGATAGGGAAGGTAAACGCGAAACCGCTTGAGACCGCAAACATGGTAAACTTTCCCATGGTAGCATTTGAACATTCTTGTCGAGAATCAAAATCACATGCTGATCATCAGCTTGAGGTGAATCGACCAAATTAATACTAGATATTATTTCTTGAACGTCTATAGTGAGCTATGATAAAAATAATGGTAAGTGTGGACCAAAATTCGTTTACGAGTATAATATCGACAGATCGTAAGGTTCGTCAAAATAATCATAAAGCAACTGACTTTGTCCCAATCTATTTCATCATACCCGATCTGCTCGTCATTATATTTATTGTATGCATCCACAAGGAAATAAAGGACGTCTTCAATATCTTGATCTTTAGGATATGCACCTAAACGAAGTAACAACTTATATAATTCTACATCAATATCAAGCTTATTTTTTGTTTGATGTTTAACGGACGACTTGCGCACATCACATCTAAAATTTATACTGTCCATTTTATTTTTGAAACGAGAAATTTGACTGAGATCATGATGTGTATTTGCCATTAAAATTCCCTACATACAACCAAGGTATAAAATTGTTAAAATACAAGATACAGCATGAAATAAAAAATGTAATTCTATATTACCTTAAAACCACCAAGCCAACAATCCTCAATATTATCAAGTAATTCTTTAAGCCTCAAATCCAATTGTGACCTTTCCTTCCACCATTCTACCTTTTCATGTTTAGTCTGTAACATTTTACCAGCTCGCATACTTTGATTACTTAATTCTAGTATTTCATTGAATTCTTTAATCACATCACTGTAAGCAAAACCGCCTTCGTCACCTTCTCTGATAAATTGACGTTTCAAAGGTAATCTTAGTAATAAAGGTGATGTTTTTCGTTGATACCGACAAATGAACATGTCATTTGTCTCAATGTCAATAGAAATAGAGCAGACGACCCAATTATGCGGCAAGATGTCCAAGAACTCGGATTGAAACTGTTCATAAGTTAGTGATAATTCATTTGTATATTGTTTCAATAAAGTTTTTAAAAATTCCTTTTGAGAATCAGTTTCATCATTTAAATCATCTTCGCAATCTTTATCATCCAAACATGCCGATGTTACAACCTGGTTTGGCCATTGCATATCATCATACTTCAGGGAAAATTGCAATTTTTCATTCAATTTAGCAACCATCTGTCTTTTTGCAGTAAGTGCTCTAGTCATCTCTAAGAAATGAATTCACATCTCAGTTATTTGTTTTATTGGAATTGCAAAATAAGGATGGCAAAAACGCTTACCTAAATAATAAGCACACATAGTTGCCACTTCAGATTGATCAAAGTTTTGGTCTTGCCCATAAGATTTGATCATATTCGTCATTGCAATACATAACGAAGTTTCTTGCAATAATTGTGTTGGTCCACATTCATAAGCCAGATCATAAACTTTTATTAGGCATTCAGTTACTCGATCAATTTCCTGAAGTAGCTGAGGTGAAATTTCTGCCTTTGATTTTATTACCCTTCGTGACTTTTTTTTATTAGCCTTTCCCATCAAAGGAAGGGAAAGTACTTCAAATGCAAATAACAGAAAAGTCATAAGATATTCTTTTTAAAAATAAAAATGCATAATACTCAGACTTACCAGAATCTCTTACATTATCAAACACTAAACGATTTTGGTTCAATAATGTATCATTTATATTCATAATATGAGCTTTACTCAATACAAATAAGTACTCTGCCTGTAATTATATAATCAACAATTGGTAAAGTGTGTCTATCCCAGTATTTAAATTTATCATAAATCAAAAAAATTCAATTGACCTTTTCAAGGCATGATTGATTCGAATATGAACTAATTTCAATCAATTTAATGCCTTCACTAATATTTCCTTGTTTGCTTAAAACCCAACCTATACATACCAATAGCAAAATACGATACTAAAGTTAACAAAATATTATTTTAATCGACCTAACTACAATATATTTCTCATATATTTCAAACCTTGACGACGAAATAATTCGCTTTTCATATACGAAAGTAAAAAACATTCATACTGAACGGCACCTATAGTATAATAATTAAGAATCTAATGTTAAAACAAATTTATAAAATATACTATCTTGAAATTAGTAAAGCAAAATGATTACCATCTCCTGTAATTTTAGTAATTGGACTAGTTTGATAACAGGATATAAATTTTTTACACGTTGGTGTTTGAAATACACTATAAATTGAATGGATTTAAGTGACATGATTTAAATAGGGTGATAATGCCTTAAAAAAAATTTTAAATAATCAAACCTCGCATCTGTGCATTCAAGCTTCGTTATATAATCTTCTTTCATAATATCGGCCAAAATATCGTTCGCCTGTTGATAACATTCTAATGCGGTTTTATAACAAAGCACTTGAAATTTGGAATCACCTTGACGATATTTGAAATCGCCTTCACGATGTTTAAAGTCCCCCATACATAAGTTCGCTAATGCTACTTCTTTTTGAAAAATATCAGCCTAATAAGAAGCACATCATACAAATGAATGGTATGTGACACATTATTTCATATAATGTTTGAAAATATGAATCAACTAATTCACCTTCTGCTGATACTCTAATGCTTTATCCAATTTTTCTTTACTTTCTTTCCAACAATGCTTTCGATATTCTAATTCCGCAACATTCAATAAAAAAAGACTCATAACAGAATTTGATTTTGTAGTTTCAATCAGATTTAAAGCTTCTTTAAAAAAATAATCAGCTTCTTTAACGCATCCGCGCAATATGTGGAGTCGACCAAGTTGATTAAAACATTCGAGAAGTTTCTATTTATAATTACATTCTTGATTATTAACTTTTCTAAAGACCATAATAAAAAAAAGAAAAAAAAATCAAATAATACTAGCTTACATGAGTTACACGCCAATATAAGCGCTGAGCCGACAATGTCAAAAATCCACCAATATGCTCCTTAAAACATCTTGAATTTTTGTTAATACTTTTCATCAGCCTGTTAAGCAGTCGTACGGCCTCTGTACAGCAAATAATTGCATCTTCTAGGATACCCTAATATAACAAATATGTTATATCGTGTTAGTTATTAATTTCAATGTTAATAATTAGATATATTCGCGTATGCATGTTTATTACACGGCACATAAATTGGGTTAAATGTGCAGCATAAAAACAAACATCCAAATATTTATATAATCCCTTAAAATAGATCTTTACCAAACGTATTGAAATGTACGAACGTGTCAAATAAGCATCCGCTATCAACCATTGTTCATGTTTTCTATGGCGAGCGTCATTCTGGACAACCCTACGATCGGCAAAGGACTTCGTTTGGTTAAAAATCAAAACACTAAAAATTGAAAACTATTAATTTCGAAATGATAAATTCATTATACGGTATTCATAAATTACAAAAGTTGCACCTTTTATCCATGTTTCCAATGGCACATAAGTAATGACTATATCCCAACATCCATAACAAATGTACATCATCAACACATCTAAACGAATCAAGAATGACTTTTGCTTGTGAAAACGCCAATCCAGCCTTGCCCGTATATCCAAGGTTTAGGTATATTTTACCAATCTGAATGTATAAGGTAACTGATTCTATTCAAAAAATAAAAATAAAATAAAAAATAAAAATAAATAAATAAATAATAAATACCATACTTAATCAATTATAAAGTTAGATAAAAATATACCCGAATAAGAATCTTTTACATCGTCTTTGATGCCATTGTTTAGTCCTAACATCAGTTTTAATGTCAAAATATGATTTATTGGCTGATTTGTCATTCCAAAAAAATCAGCAAGCAATTCTTTAAAATATTTAGTATAAGAGTCAAGGATTAAAAAAAAAAAAAAGTTTGATTGGAATCATCAAAACTAGTAAAATAAGCTGAATTAAAAGATACGAAGATGCCCATAGAATCTTTCCACATCATCAATGTTTTTTTTGGTATTTTCAATATCATGTTGTGATATAGTCTCATTGAAACATAAAGGAACGTTTGCTAAAATACTTCTCCAAATAATCAAGGCACGTTTAAATGAATCAATAGTTTGTTTTCCAGATTCAAGCGTCAAGATGCCAATCCAGGAATATGCAATAGCTAAATAATGCGGACGAAGGTGCAAAAGTGAAGCATCTTGTCCTGTATCCTAATAATGATAAACAAATGCCTTATATCAAATAATAACTCTAAAAAAAAAAAAAAAAATCGATATGAAAAAGAAATATTACATCTGATTTTAACAATTCTATAGCTTCTTCCGCCAATGACATGGCTATCATTTGCATATTTATTTCTTTATACCTCATAACTTTAGATTTTTCGATTAATACCCTATTTTAATTCATATTAAAGGGATCGTAACATATTTGATTAATTAACAAATAAACAATCATACAATATTTACAAACCTAGCCCTACGAATTGGAAATTCCTCTCGACAATACAATGTCAATAGTTTTTCAATTAACAGTGATTCAACTTTTGAGCCATATAATTTATCTTCAAATGCCTTTAACACACGTAACTCATATTCCATTAATCCTGCTAATTCTATACCATCAGTTAACAAAATTTCGTGTGGCAAGGAAATATCGATATCCAAATCATCAACAAATGATAATTTAATACAGCGTTCAATTAATTTTGAAATAATTGGTACTTGTTGAAATGCAGAAAATATTCCTTGTGTCGAAACTAGTGCTGAAAGCTGAGTTAATTCCCTTTTGGGAAAATTTCTAAGAGAATTCTCATATGAAATGCGAGCGTTCTTATCAAAATTATTTACAAAAGTCACTTTAGAGAAATATTCCTTTAGCAAATCATCAAAATCAATTAATATTATCTACACAAACCTTGATTTCACCCAATATATTCCAACAAGCCCCCAAGGCCTCATATCTTTTACTCAACTGTGCTTGAACTACCTCTATATTTTTTATTTGTTGCATTTTACATACATACTGGTCTAAAATTGTACATGCATGTTGTAATGGTTCTATCGCAAGTTGAGCTTGATTGTTATTATGATAAAAGACGCCTATTCGATAATAGGAATTAGAAATCCAATGAAGCCCTTCAATACAAGAAGTTTTCTGGGCAATTTGATGCGCCTTTTCTATATAATAAATACATTTCTTAAAGGAACTTGTTTTATAAAAATTAAGTGTGAACCGCGAAAGGTCCTCGTAAAACCCGATAGCAATTAAAGAGGCTTTTTCTGGATCTAGATAATCCGAATCTTTATGAGAGAAAGGGCTCTATAAAATAGGTCAAGATCAGCAAGAGACGCACTATTAAATGTTGGTAGATAGGAAAAAAAAAAATCACATAATAATGCTTTTTTCCCTTTTAATTCAGTCCACTGATGAATTACAAGCAAAGATATTATCTTACCTTATATTTGTGAAAATTGACACATATCGTATCTAAACATAAAGCAATTTCTTCTATTGTTTCTTTAATTGCAGATGATTTCCCAACTATTGATAAATCCATAGATTTATTCTTAGAAGTATCTTCCATAAATTCTACAATTTTACACCATGGTCGTCTTAATAATTCAGCTGCCTTAAACAATTGTGATTTAGCACATATCTCCTCTTTTGATAGCTCAGCCTTTTGCATATTTAATGAAACAGAAGCAATAGTATTTCGTAAATCTTGTAATTGTTTTAATTTCGGTAATATGTCAAAACCTAATTAAAATTTGATTAATTAGAGCAAATATCAAAACTCATTAAATCAATTATTAAATTATTATTAAATTTTTTACATTTTGACATGTATAAAAGCTCCTCTAAAACCAAAGAAACAATATTGATTTTTAATGCAGCAATTCGTAGGTTATCCGCTAAACAATTATGTGGCTCCTCTTCTGATCTCACGCGTTCGGATAATAAATTTACAGCATTTTCATAACATGAAATACTTTCTGCGCGATCGTTAACCTATAGATTCATAAATTTATATTAGTCATTATTATTAAATATATAGTATGAAATTGACAATAATTATTTACCAGCCGCGCCACACGTGCAAAATGATCTAGCCATTTAAAATATTTAATCTGTTGAATGGCTTCATTTATGTGAATTTTAATTAATGATGAAATTTCGCAATGGAAATTTAATAATTCTCGATACATGGCTAATTTTATATATTATAGAATATTGTATAAGTGAATGTATGATTGATACACAATCTCAAAAGTTATACGCACTATTTTTATTAATTGATTTCTCAAATTGCACCGCACTTGCCAGTACATAATCGAGCAGATTTGCCAAATCGAAACGTGCTGTCATAAGAAATAATTTTGAGGAAGCTGCTCGCAATCTTAGTATAAGTATTGGTTCTTTAAAGTTTGAATAAAATTGGGTAAATGTGTTAAATAAAATCTACATCAAGTATAACATAATCATGTAATTATTACACTACCTGACAGATCTTGAAGTTTGGCACAAGCTTTCGAAATTATTCGCATTAACATTTCCGTATACATAGTCACATTTTTTGAGTCAGTATTTCTCAATGATTGGCAAAGAATAATAGGATTTCGACTATCATTATTCTTTAAAATTTCGGGCAAGCGCTTTTTTAATAAGTAAAAAATATTTATTAATTTATTAGAAGCAGAAATTTTTTACTCACTGAAAATTAATAAAATTACACTAATTGAAATGTAATTCATGATTTTTTTTAATATTTACAGACAGTAATTGCTCATGTAATTATACAAACCTTGATAAACTGTAATTCTTCAAGTTCCATGGAACATCGATATGCATAGACCAAGCTCGATAAAACCAATAACTTAGCCTCATTATTTTCAATTTTGTTATTGTCGGGAATATGAAATGAGAATAAGTTAAAAAGATAATCTGAACTATCAATATTCTTTGATCCTCTGCTAATTTTATTTTTCATTGGTGGATGTGTTATATTTTGAAGGGTATTAGAGCTTCTACTTGGATTTTTCGACCCATTGCACGCTCCAAGATATTTCAAAAGACGCATTCGAAGCTTTAATAAAGGCTGAATGGCTTCTCTGTACTAAGAATGTTAATATATATATATATTATATATGCATGTGTTAATATGTGCCAAACATTGAATCACCTAAATTAAGAAAATAAACTACCAAACCAAAGTCTATCATGCTTTTTATTAAATTCGAATAAGCTTTTTCAAGATCTAGTGTTTTAAGATTCAATTTTGCTTCAATCTGCTCTAATTCACCAATAGCCGAAAGGGTCGCGTTAATCAAAGATTGAACATTTGATCTAGACGACGCGTTTTTATCCTCAATGTTTTGAATATTGGCATCGCTTAATACGCGCTTGTTTACAGTATCTGAGCGTTCATGCCAAAGTTTGTTCAGTGCTTTTAAATTATTGTTGATTGTCTGTTTCGCTAAAGAGGATGGATTTACGGAGCGTGCCTTTACGGTCTTCATTGAACGAGACGATAAAATTATTTTGTTTTCATGTCACCTACGCAAGATCGAATGATCGAAACTGGTTGCCGATCCTTGAAATTTCATTGGCTGCTTATACCAGACTTATCGAACTACTGTATTAAATTTAAGGAATCCGGATTTATAACATGATTTATACTGTATTATACCAACATATTATGTTCTTAGGTTTTAATTTATTTTGATTTTTTTAATTATTCAAAGGATTTATTTAATCATTGTAAATATTTTGAGATGTGTTTATATTTAAATTGAAATAATTAATAAGTTATAATTTAAGTTCTATTTCGTCACGTAAATATAGGACATGAATTCAATATCAGGTTCAAATCTTTTGTTTATTATTTTCTTAAGCAAATACAAATCTTCATGTATATGTTGTTTACTATCCGATTATTTGATTAATCTTTATTAAGTCTTATTAAGTCATATATTTCAATATTATAAATTTTTTTGACCTTTGCAATAAAAAAATTACGACCTTTATAATATTAAATTTTAAAAATTTATATTATAATAAAAACTTTTTAGAATGAACAAGAATTATGTAAAATGAATGGCCTCAGTTTAAAAACTATAATAAAAAAAGAAAATTTCGTGTAGTAAGTTATTGCATGTCCAAAGGTTTTTTTTTAACCATGTCTAAGTATCCAAGCATATCAAGCTTTAATAATTAAATTGTCTAAAAAAAAATATTATGCTGAACATTTTTACTTAAGTATTAGTTAGTAGTATAAAGTTACTTTTCATAATAAAATTTAGAGCTATTATATAACTAGGCGATATCGCCAGGGGCGTAAGTTAGCAATACTCTATTATTTTTAATCAACTAAAAACTTTAAAATCGATAAAATACAATTTGATAGTATACACTATATTTTATACAACTATATAATTTTAAAGCAACTAAATTTCATCATAGTAAAAACTAATATTAAAGTGAGATGTTTTCAGTTAGGTTGACTAAGATGCTCATTATTTTTTTAAAAAAATTACTAGGTAAGGAAACGAAATGAATCTACATGAACTTATATGACATTCCATAATATCTTACAAATATTTTATGAAATTCCACGAACCTTCAGTAATACTACACAAAAAGAAATATAAATTTATGTAAATTGTCAAGTGCTTTACACTTACATAAATTTATATCAAGCAATTACATAACATTATCATCTATGTGATGTTACGTAGGTATATGGACCTTCGAAGTTCATGGTGCTGTTAATCAACCAGGGTCATTATATATAACTTCAATCTAATCAAGCTCTAGACATACGGTATAAATTGAAATTTCATTATATCCATATATATTTCATTGTACGGAACTTTATTATATTAAAGTTATGCTGTAGTAAAAGTAATTTATTTTTAAAGGTACAAAAATACTAGTTACAGTATTGTGTGTTTTTCTTTAAAGCCTTTCAAAGCCTACACAATTAAATTTATTAATGAAATGTTATATACTCAAAAAAAGTACTGTAATGTATCTGGATTAGCTACTCAGATAATTGATTCAGATTATCTTTAATCTTGGCATAAGATTACTAGACAAACCTTCATCATTAAACTTTTCATGGTTTCTACAGTATATCTATTTATTATCTTTCAGGTCACATGTTAGTTATGCGCTGTAAACATTTCATTTAACACTTAGTGTAAGGCAGTTATTACTCTGACAGATTGGATCAAGTTTGGTCAAAATTTGACATTGACAAAAGAGATTTAGTTCTAATCACCGGCGGTGATCATCACCGGTCCTAAGATTTGTTAGGGTTAGGGTTAGAAATTAGAGAATTATTTTTTTTTTATATAATATAATATAGAGCTACTATAAGGGCCCGATCTCAGTTCTCGTAAGGTTTTTGGGGTCCTGAACATTTTTACTTAGAGTACCCGATCCAGTTTACTTAGTACGTTTTTGAGATATAAGCACCCCGGTGATGATCACCGCCGGTTATAGTTACTAAAATACTTGACAAAATATGGTTAAAATTAAATTGTATATATATCGATATGCACATTTTGAGGATAAATTTATGGGATAATGTGTGTAGAACGTTTGTTGGACTGTCTGGACTATAATTGCAGAAATAGACGTGATTGGCATCCCAACCATTATTCAACTATGTATTAAATAAGTCAAATATTATTGCATATGTTTAATTTTAAGAATAATTCTTAAAATTAAATATTTTGACTTAGTACAGTACTATACATAATAGAATTACTTACATTGGATTTTTTTTTTTTACTTTAAACTAAAATATTCTTAACCCACCTGACCCATTTTTATTGACCAAGAAAAAAAACAATTATGCAAAAAAAAACTCATTGTGGGTATTGTGAGTCAGAATAACAAGAAATATGAATTATCCGTATATCATTTTTCAACAGTATAAAAAGTTTGGTTTGAAAATATGTGCACACTCATATGGCTATATGCTTACGTACTTTATATTAAAATAAGAACATGCGCACATCGAATTTTACATTTTTAGAATAAGTAATATAAACTATTATGGTAATAATGAATATCTCTTTCTTAAAAGTACGTAGTGAATAATACTTAGAACATGAATTTGAGAAGAAAATTGATCATGGAACAACAAAATTTGATATTAATGCAATTTTGGATAATGCTATTCTAGGATAGAATTATAATGTATTATAGATTTAGAACAAATTTTAATATCAATACAATATTAGATAATAATAGAATAAAATTGTAATGTAAAATACTAATCTAGAATAAAATTGTAATGTAAAAACACTATTACTAGATAATAAAATTATAATGTAAAAATACTATTACTAGATAATAAAATTATAATGCTAAAATGCTTAAAACAATTTGCATATAGAATTTAACACAAATTCGGAATTATAAACTGTATAGTTTAAATTTTGGAATAAATTTGGGATTTTGGAACGAGTTTGGAATTTGAAACTTGGGACGAGTTTTGGACAAAAAGTAGGATTTGGGTCAAAATTTAGGTCAAAATAGGTTTAGTTTGGGCCAATAGTAATAACTATTTGGATGGCAACTATAGTCAAATGGTCAAAACCAATGTTTTTGCAACTAAAATAACTAATCAAAGTAAAATCTCTTTTAAATAAAATTCACGTGAGCAATTTATATAATTTGTAAAGATAAAAGAGTATCAGAAGCAATGTTTTCATGAGAACACTATTAATTATTTGTAACATATTATACTGTTCTATATTAAAAAAATTTTGAGCAATAAAATAATAATTACGCTCTCGTATGTATTATTATAAGTATCAAGTTTATAAGCATACCCGCGGATATTTGGAATTACTATTTAAAAAATTTTAACCATAAATAACTTTTGATTCACTGGACAGTTTTGGATTTTTTTTTTTTTTTTTTTACCATTAAAATGACCGCCTCAATGAGGCAATTCTAACGAGCCCCAAATCGTTAAAATCCAATGATAGGATCCCCGAGATCGTTAAGGATTTGTGCCACTTCGGGTGTTTTAGGATTAGTTTAATTAATCCTAAAACACCGAAGCGACACAATTCCTTAACGATCTCTGGGATCCCATCATTGAGTTTTAACGATTTGGGGCTCGTTAGAATTGCCTCATTGAGGCGGTCATCCAATGAATCAAAAGTTATTTATGGTTAAAGATTTTAAAATAGTAATTCCAAATATCCGCAGATACGGTTTACTAAATTGAATTTCAATAAATCGAGACTACAATACTTATTAAATTTTGAACATTGATCAGAAGTAACGCGAAATTTTATTTTTTTTATTTTAGCCAATCAGAATTCTTACTGATCATCCAAAAAAATATGATTCTTATACTATAGAAAGCTAAGATGATGTCAAAAGGCGAAATCCATATAAAATTTCAGAATTACCTACTCTTTTAATAAGACAATTATCCGAGCGAAAAATCAGCCATTTTTATTATTCCTTTGGCAACTAAAATTCGAATTGATAAGTTCATCAAAATTTTACTAATTCGATTATCAGAAATTTTTTTAGTTGCCTTAGAAATAAAAATATTGTGGCTATAAAAATAATTGACCAGAAGCCATTACATGAATGCTTTTATAATTGATTGGGTCGGATCGGATCGGAATTTAATGATTAAATTGTTTAATTACAGCTGTTTTCATTACATTTATTCTCGTAAATTCTGGGATAACTGACAATTATTCGAAAGCTTTTGATTTCAGCATGTCATGTTCGATATATAAAAAATATAATATTGATGGAATAATTTCATCATGTTTATTTCTTTTTTATATATTATTATATGTTATTGACTCTAGAGCAGTCTTATGATCTTGACAAGTAATAAACAAATTAATTAGTTATAAAAAAAAAGCAAACCCATTATTAAAAAAAATTATATCCAAAATATGTCATTATTTTTTATCTGTTCGAAATCCCCGTCAGGGACGATGATTTTCTGCGGCAATTAAACCAAAATTCTGTCGTCACTAATTCGCAATTTCTGTGATAATTCTGCGA